ATTTTAACGAGACTCTGTACGAGAGTAGACAACGAAACAACGATTCCGGGTCGCAGGAGCTACCGATTTACAAGCTATAAGTCAACTTGGACGCGCAATTATCCCCCCCCTTCACCTCCGGCCGACAGAAACCCTCTCTATCATCGTTCGGTACGGGATTCCTGTCGTAATTCGACCCCGCAGGGTTATATCTTCCGAAAATGACAAAAAATATCGGAGAGAGGCGCTTTCGGATCACAGACGCAGTCTTGGTTCGCTCAAAAAGCTTGGAAAATTGTACAAGCACCACGATGTCCTCTATTTGAATTATCGCTGGTAAGAAATTCCTGATACCCAACAAAGATTTCGCTATCGTTGTCCCGTGATACAAGATCTGTTTGGGGTTACGTGCGAGTGTTGGTCTCTTTGCTCTCCGTGTCTGTTTTTAACGACTATCCGAGATCCAACAGTTTTTCGTCTATCGATCGTAAAAGTATCTTGTAACGTTTCGCGCTTGAAACTAGAAAACTTTGTCGTCCGATCGAGTTGGTAAAGTATTCGGATCAAGTTCCAGAAGTTTATATCATCGACAGAAACGAAAGAACGAACGAACGAACGAAGATAGGGGGACAGAAGCGTAGAATAAATTGGCAGCCGTCTATCGCAAGAAACGAATTATGCAGAACGTTCTAATAAACTCTAAGAGATCATATCCTTGCTAGAAGCGTAAAGTCCATTCGGCGTTCAGTCGTAAGTATTGTCTCCGCAAAATGGAACGACTAGCGACGGGAAAGGGTCATACTCAATTTGGACGAGCTAGAACTCGAGGGAAACGACTATCCTTGAACGTCGTAGCGTGACCCGTGCGGCTGATATCGGTGCAAAGTAAAGGCTTTGACCGAGGCACCGTATGTAAATATACTTTGCAGCCTTCTCTGCAATGATACCGTCCTATGCCATCCCCGGACAAGGCTTCCTTATCGATCTACCGCATCCGAGTCACTCCAATCCAAAGAAGGAACGAAACCACCTAGCAGGGTCGTCGAGGATTCAAAGCGAAGAAGGCTGACCCAATACCAGCGTTATCTAGCTTTCCTGTAGTTGGAGTGTCCGGCATTTATACGATTTTAACACATTACTTGCCAGCAGCCGATTAACAGGCTTTACACCCCCGAATTTTTAAGAACCGTCCCGAGGTTGGACGCGTTAAGGGTTCCACAAATAAAATTCTATCGTTTTTTTTTTTGTATTTTCACGAAGCAAGTTTGCAGTTGAGCGATACAAGGCGCTCGATTAAAATGAAACGAGGCTGGCTAATCGAGCGTATATTTTTTCGTATACGACAACGTGTCGATGAATCGCGTCCTATTTACGGTCAGTTTGGAACAACGCGACCGAGGGTCCACGCAAAGGGCTAAAAAAAATAGGAGACGACGTACATTCGTCCGTGGATGAGGAGGGTTTGGTGAATCCATCTGGAAACACCGGACGGTCACACTTTACCCTGCTTGCGTCATTACGCTCGCGCACCTTTTCTTTCGCACTTCCGTCTAATTGCTTTGCTTACGTGCGTGAGGAAAAGTGGGGAGGACCGGGGAGGTGGGGGGCGGGGGCGTTACAAAGTCACGTGTCGGCGGTGTCATTACTTAAAACCGAGCCGCTGGAAAATTTCTCTCGTTTCCCTTTGTCGAACGCAAAATCGTAGAAACGTACCTTCAATTTCACTCCCCGTAAACGTTTCTCCTCATCCGTATTACACAGGGTTAGAACCCACCGCGGCGGCGGCAGCGGCGGCGGCGGCGGTAAACCAAGGATTTTGTCTCCATAGGAGCTAGCCGACCGCGACGCGACGTTTCTTCGATCCGGTGAACCACGTCCACGCATGGAACCGACGATTAATCGCGATTGATCGCGGGATTACCGTGCCCGCGAACCTCACCGACTGCCGGCGTGTCACCGGGTCAAAGGACAACGAGAGACTGGCCGATCCGCGAGCTGGACGTCGTCGACAACACGCCGTCCTTTGCCAATAAAACGGTGACGCGCGACAGAAACAGAAGAATCGCGTTATGCCACTGTGCCACGGCTGTGTAACTATGCCGGGAGCAGCCGTGATGGGAGCGGCCTTCCGGGTGAAGCCGGATGTTCGTTCAAGTCTATTACGCGTCGCTGTACAACATTGTGCAATGTCGACGTTCGGGGAGTTTGTTCAAGTTTAACGGGAATTTGAAGAATGGGGGGAGATGCTAAAATACAACTGAGCTCGTCGAACCGTGGACAGCGGGAACGCCGTCTAATCATTAAAGTATAGTTGTCGTGGTTTAATATTATTTTTACGTGCTTTTGAACGCGACGCGTTTCAGCTATTCGATTTTGCGCTCATTCCGCCGCGTCGGTGCTTCTTCGTTTTCATTAAACCTGTCGGACTCGTTCGTTTTTCCTTATCTTCTTATCGTGCTTTTCCGTTCGCTCGGCTATTATCCACTTTCCAGCGGATAACTTGCTTATTAAACAAAGCCAGGATCGGCCGTCTTAACGATTTAATCAAGAAGCCTGGAAAAATGTATTTACTCGCGAACGTGCTTTGGTTCTACGTTGAAAATTCGTTGAATCGTCTCGAGGATGCTGGTTTCGGGTAAACGTAAGATGGAACGGTTCCATCGTTTTCACGCGGAAACGGATAAAAGGGGAAAAGTCGATTAATATTCGCAGTGGAGTTGTAGTTTTGCCGATCGTAAGCAGAATAGGGGGAGAAAGAGGAGGAATTGGCCGAGCGGACGAGAAAGATGCCGAGATAGAGGACAAACAGACAGACACATTTCTGTTATACGTACTGTCACAAACTTGGCGACAATAGATCGAACTGCCGCGAATGGTTGGCAGGAAGCGCTTCCCATTTCGTTTGTGAATAGCTACGTACGCGCTCACACGTTTCGAGTTCTTGTGTAAGTCGAATGAACGTAGCGAACCGGATCGCCCTAGAACCGCGCTTCTCTGGGACCTATGTTGCGGAACAAAAAACCGGCCGTCCGATTCGATCACTCGCCAACTCTGCTCCTTTCGTAATCGGGTACGTCGTGTTTGCCGTCCGTCCGATGATCAAATTAAAGGTTCCGATACTCGTACACGCGCGTCTCGTAAAATCCTCCTAATGACGCGCAGAGATTCGCACCTGGTTCGCCTCTGCGCGACGCGCGAACTGAATCTTGATCTTGTCGGGAATAGTTGGCTCGAAAAGTAGCGATTCGAAGTCGAACGGTGGAAAAGCAGAGTTTTTAAATGCAAACTGGATCGCATGAATAAAAGATCTCGGCCGGGAACGAGGACCGGGAATGCCAATGTAACCCGACAGCAACGTACATAGTTCCGTTACGATCGGTAATTGCTAATGTAGCACGTTGCTGATCGTTACACGCCTGTAAACACGTTCTCGGATCGATGGAACGGTCGTTTTTTATCAACGATAAACGTTTCTTTTTTCGGTCCACGCTCCAAGTTCACGGAGTAAAATCGAAGATTTAAATTGAAGTAATTAATAGGTAGACGCACTGGGGGAGGGGGGCAGAAAGTTTCCTATTGTCAGTCGGGAGCGTGCGGCTTGTTAAATTTCTCGGTCGAGCGCGAGTCTATATTCCAAGCGAAGTGAAACGGATGGCCAATGATGACTCTCCGTCCATCTTCTGGCTCTGCGACTTTCTCTCCTTTCTCCCTTCCGACGACTTTTTCGGAATCCTTTATGCTCCTTTTTTAAGGACCTTTTTTATTCTCTTCTGCCATCTTTTCCCCTATCTTCCCTCTTTCTATGGACACCAGCTCGTGCGAAATCCCTTGAAAAGGAAGCATAAAGACCGACGCAGCTAACGAATAAAAGAGTCGCGACACAGAGATTTTTATAAAAATTCTGCCCCGCCTTTTTTCGAATTTAATTAGGGAGACTCGAGATTCGTGGAACGCGTTGGAAGCGTCTCGGAAGTACATATGTCAGCGAAACGTACAATCGATGTTGGTTTTCCAACAGTATTAATCGCGTTGTTTCTCGGAAATGTATGTAAACAAGGCGATTTAGGATTTCTCATTTTCGTTGAAATTTTTCCGGGTTTCGAATCGCGAATAAAGACTGTGATTTTGTTGCGCGTCCCTGCTGTCGCGTACAGACAACCGCAGGACACCCGGTCTTCGCGATACGTTTCCAATATCCCTCGACGTCTCGTTTGCATTGTCGGTCGTGAAATTATTGGCATCGGTAGTAACGAGGACGATTCGTTCCTCGGTCAAAGGAATCGGTTGGATTGACATCGGTCCGTGTTGGGTGCGATTCATTATCGTAGCGTTGAATGCACCGTTCAGCTTCGTTTCGCTAGCGTAAAATAAGCGAGAGTTGTTCATCGTCTAAAACGAGAAGCGCTCCGCGTTATTCTTTTCTTTTCAGCAACGGTGATCGTTAAACGGCGCGTTCGCGCTAGTTTATCTATGGTTGTCGTTTACGAGAATCATCCTCGAATATTATGACCGTTTGGTGTGTGCCGTTTACGAGCGAGGTCGAAACACGATCGATGCTTGATATTCGTGGAAATAATGATACCGAATGATCTGCCAGAAATTCCTCGTGGCCGGTACGTTCGTACGAGGCTTCAGAGGTTAACCCCTTCGTTTCGGACGCGAAACGGTGCTTTTGACATCGTGTCATTGACTGGTCGTATTTGTTACACACGCGCGAATTTGCCTCGTGTATAAATGAAACAGAGGCGAGAGATTCTGAAACCGGTTGGCTGGTCGGTAGGCGTTGATTTTGGACGCTCATTTTGCATTCGTTCGACGTTTACTGCTTCGCAATTAAATGTAATTAAAATATTCATGAATCGGTTCGATTTAAAGCGACGAAACAGAACGAGACAAGTTTCGAAATTATATAAATATTGGATCGGATACGTTAACACAAGGGGAAAGTATGCGGAACGAAAATCGTGGACACTGCAACGAAATATACCGGGCACGAAAGAAAAGAAACAAAGTAAATTCGTTCATTCGACATCGTCGTCGCTGTCGACCACTCTGAGATTTTTAATTTCATCGATATCCAACTCGAGATGCGCAAATGCTTCGTCGTCCTCTATCTGCCGTAAAGCTTTAAGATCCATTGATACGATTGTCTTCAAAGCCTCCGGTGGTGGAACCTGTAACAGCAGGTAAGAGGATTTCGACGCATCCTTGCATAATACAATATCATAATACTCGGAAGCGGTAGCTTTAATTATCCGCTACCTTTAGCATGCTATACATTAGACGAAGGTTGATTTAGGAACAAATACAATGTGGGACGTTTAATACAGGTCACCTGGATAACTTGTTTACTTTTAAAGACGGACGAGATGTTTCATATTTTACGTTAGAATAATTTAATTTTAACTTTCAAAAGGCTACGAAAACGCTTAGTCTTTTAAAAATGGCCAGCAAATATCAAGCGGGTTTCAATCGGACGAACGAAGCGGCCAAAGCGTGGGACTTTGATACGTTTCCGCTCCGTATTGTGTCACGATCCGAGCATTATGAGCCAGTGCCCCATTCCGTTCTTGTATTTTACATTGGATCGTAGCTAAATCGGAACGTCGTTCGATAGAGAAGGCAATGTGAATTTCAAGAAATGTTATCGACGAGAACACGCGTACCGCGTAAAACTTTTATTCTTTCGTTTCGAAAATTAATTTCTTTTTTATAAATCGACCGAGCCTTCGTCGCTAAGCCCTACGATTTACATTGAATTCTACGTACAACTTCGGTAACTGTATTTGAATAAAAAATTCTACCGAGAATAGGAAGAGTACTTCGGAACTGGAACGGTAGCCTAGTCAACATTTCATTGCCTAATTGACACTAAAATTACCTCCGGGTGCCGTTGAAGCCATTCAACGAAACCTCTCACGCTTTTCAGATGCGTTATATCCTTCCAAACCACGTCCATCGTTTCCAGATCTTTCGGCACGTACTCGCACTGCAGCCAGTTCTTTTGAACTTGATTATTAGGTGGTACAAATTGAAGTTTCCAAGGCAGAGTGGTCCCGAAGGCTTCTGTTTTCGCCGGTGTTCGTTCCGCTTTTGCATCTCTCATGACGTGTTTCCTTGTCATGGAGAGCTTACTCGCACCGGGGGAGTTTCTTGTTAAAGCCACCTCCGCGGGCACTACTGGTATTTCTTGAATCGATACCTGTTTACGAAAGCAAAAAATTATGCATCCGAGCGCTTTACGGAACGAGACTGCTGCATCGTTTCTCAAGCAAAAGAATTAACGTTACAATTTACGGGATTTTGGTACAATATCTATCAGATATATGCATATCTATTTAACCTGCATTGCTCTACAAGCCTCCGCGTTGAAATCAATTTCGAACATATCTCTGAGAACTTCCTCGTCGACAGTCTTATTTGTTCCACCTAAAGTATCGAGCCACTCGCAAAAGTCTCTGCATATCTTTGTTAGCACGTTATCGGCTCTCATTTTAAGGGTTGCGTCCGGATCGTAGCCTTCGAGGTCGGACTTTGTTAAGGGACGCCAAGTAATAACCTATCGAATAAAATTTTTTATTCGAACGTAACCTTGATTATCAATCCGATATCGCACCTTGCGCCTTGGTTTCTTCAAAAATAGAGCATATGGATTGTATCTACGTTGACCCAGTTTCTCCGCATTGCTGAGTGATTCGATGTCTCTCGGTGTTGGTGGATGCACCTTGATAATTACAAAAAGAAGTAGCTTCAAAGGATACAATAAAGTGGAACAACTTTTTCAAGTATAAATAGCGAGCTGTCAATGATGAAACGTTTTCATTAAAGAAAGATCCAAACCTGCCTCTAAAGACGTTAAACTATAGTTGTCGCAGGACTCTGTTTCGCCATTATTATGTATCCGATCGACACGATTCCTCCCATCTGTATCCTCGAACGAAATCTGCTTCAGCGTATACCATTCTGGTAATCCCAGCAAAGACGCAACGAGATTATAGGACTTTTGGGGTAGGATTCGTCTCAGGAGGCGGGGGTTGCAAGAGGGTGACTGATTCGTAGATAAAAGTAAGTCGGAAGGAAATTTCTCGGGGCACAAATAAAGCCTAGAATCTACTAACAACCTTGTCAATTTCGCGGCCAATTTGCTGTGCCTTTCGTCGTTCGAATCCAAGTTCGTAGCATGTTTCGCGAGTCGTTCCGAAAACTCTTTGCACAATGTTTCTAACATACTTGTCGAAGACGCGTTCTCTTTGAGATTATCCAAGAATTCGGCGATCTCATCGGTCCCTGTGAGTGGCAGTTTCGTGGCAGATATTGAGCAATCTGGTACAGGGGTAGCTTTAGAGAAATCATTGTCCCGAGACGAGTAAAATTCTTGTAATTCGTTCCTTGTCCCGTCATAAAAAATCTTCGACCAATCGGACACAGCGGTAAGGTTCAAGAGACTGGTTCCTCTTTCGAGAACATGTTCTTTTCCCCCGATGAATTCTACGTTTTTCAGTGACAGGTTCTCCGAAACAGATTTCGCTTTGGTTAAAACTCTGCTAACCGGTGAATCGTTTTTTTCCCCGCTACTCGTTTTACTTTTATTCGCAATGCTTTTAGATATTGATTTTGGTTTTTCTGGGATATCGTCGTAGTCGTCGCTGGAAGCGCCCCTCGTCGTCGATGCCTCGATCAGAACGATTCGATCTTGTAAGCTCGTTGGTTTTCGGTTTCTTAAGGCACGTAGAGGTTCCAAACTGGGCCTAAAAATCGTGGGAGCGTGACAAGGTGCCAAATACTGGGACTTGGATTGATCGTCACCCACTGAAACGGCGAGCGAATCGTTCTCGTCGGAACTCTCGCTGCGAACCGAAGTAGAAAGTTTCGATCTTTCTAAAGGTGCGGCTTGCGTAGCATTTGTAGCGTGGTTCAAATTTTTTTCCACCAAAGTTGAGTCACCGCCTCGTTGATCCTCTTTGGTTTTCCGTGTAACTATTTTTTTCGCAGATTCTGAATCTAGAACACTTTTCCCATGCTTTCCCTGAGTCAAGGAAGAAGCATGCTCGACGATTAGACTTTCAGGACCACTGCACATATGCGTATTGGACGTTACACCTTCGATTTCAATTTGGTGATTTAATGTTTTATCCGTTTCGTCTTCGTAATTTAATATGCTCGTAGAGCTTGACTCGCTCTCTTGAAAAGTAGACGAATCAACGCATGCGTTCTGCGAAATTATTGTTTTCTGTAAAACTGTCATGGGAAAAGAGATCTTTCGGTCCAGCGGTGTTTCGAACGATTTATACATGCACACTAAACATCTGTCGCGATTCTTTCTGGGATAACCGGACAACCTAGGAATCGATTCGAGAACACGAGCCGAAGGACCTTTCCAGGGCTTGGGGTGCACGAATTCAAGACTCGGCCCTGACGTGAAACGCGTCCCGGAGGAAATTGTCTTCTTCAATTTTGAAGTCGTACTTTCGCTATCGGTATCTGTAAATCGTGAATCCTTAAGCGACTCTCTTTCCAACTTCTTTTCCAATAATTCTACCTTCTCTTCTGTGAGTTTTTCGCTGTCTTTGGGTGTAAGTAATTTCATACTTTCATTGCGATGCAGTAACGAAGTACCGTTTAACTCGGAAACTAATTCTCCGGATAAATTCTCGATTATTTTTGGTTCAAAGTTCAATGTTTTATTCGGGGTTAGACGTTTCAGTGCTTTGTAAGCGCAACGAATGGAATACTTGAAGGAATCCTGATCCTGTACAGAGCTTTGAACTTTCTTTCCACCTCCGTCTACTGGATGCAAAGGTTCGTCTGTTTTCATTCGCGCAATATCGTTGCGGAAGTAATTCTTGGTCGATCCAGCAGATTTTGTTTCTGGAAAGAGTCTTCTTTGTGGTAATTTAGGTAAAATAGATCGTGAACTCGATAATGGAAGAGTCGAGAAATTAGTAGGAAAATTTTTCTTTCCTATTGATTCACTTTGCACATTAAATGGAGTACGAATACGATTTGACTTTCTTCCGAGACTAGGTTGAGGTTCAGGACTGTCTAATTTTGAAATTTGTGCAGCTTTGAACGATGCAGCCGGATCTTTTGAACGAGCTTCGGCCGGAACTCTCCATATTGACATTGGAAATGATCCTCTACCGTCATGGTGATCTTTGCTCGAGTCAAACTTGGACTTCAAAGGCGACAATTTATGCAAAGAGTTTTTGGAGACTTTACAACTATCTATAGGACAATCGGAAAAAGAATTTAAATTAGGTGTTTCGTTGTTCGTGCGCGTATCGAAGTTGACGGGCATAGTTTCATTTTTAGGAAAAGAATGACGGAATAACTCAAGGGAAGGATCTCTTACCACGATCATTTTCTTCCCTTCATCGTTGCAGAATTTTTCCCAATATTCTTTCGACTTTGGAATTGGATACTCCCACCTGACAATGAAACAAAACGTTTTCGAGGAACTGAAGAGAATGCAAGAGAATGAAAATATTGTCGCACGATCCACGTACTTTCTTCCACTGAGTTTCATTTGCCTGCGTAATGTTATGCACTCTTCGTATTTCTCTTTGAACAAATCACTCATTTCGCCGGAATTTCGAATATAACGAATTTGCGAACATCGATAAATATTCCCAAGAAATTTTGTCTTTTAAACCCGGTGTACGGTCTGCATCGTGACATCTACTGAGAAATACTTTTCCACGTAATTTCGACTATCGATCAAACAAATTTCGACCTAATTCAAATCATGCGAACAGAGCGAGAATAACTTGTACGCTAAGGGTTGCTTGAGGAATAGACGACAGTAGCTTCTGAAGGTATGTGGCCGGCAGTGCCACTTTACCTTACCAAACTCGAACAGAGCTCGGGATTTAGTTCCCGGCGTTTCAGTTAAATTTAAATTAACGTTGTTTCGTTTATTACTAAAAAATCAGGATACCCAAGTTATTAAAAAGTTAGTCCGATTGGATTCTACTGTCTGTATTAATATCTGTGCTTATTGACGAGCATAACAGCTAAAGGTACACTCGCCGAACATCCTATTTAACCGGCAAACGTATCGTTGCAATCGATAGCTGTTATACTAGATTTCTTGATAGAAAACATGTGTGATTACATAGGAAATTCCTACTACAGACGAGGTACACGAGTAGATCTTACATCAAATGTATTTTTTCGGCCCATTTTTATAGGATCTAGAAACCCCATTACCATTACCGAATCTGACTGCCATACCGACCTGAAAATTCGGAGCTGATTTTAGCGACCTCTTCTCATGGATGGCGGTCAGTTGAGAAACTCATTGAATTAGTGTGATAGCAGCAGTCTAGTTGCGCGTAAATGCATACGAGTTGAAAAGTACGAATTATTCGTGTTTCCTTGACTAGTTAAAGTTGTAAATAATTTACTAAAATCAGTCTATCCGCGGTTTCTATCCGAGGTATCCCTCGGGTTCGTAAACAAGCTTCGTGCGACATCGGAGCTTCCCCCATCCCGCCGCCTAATTCCCGAGCGTTGCCGAGCACAGCCGGCGGCCATCATTCCTCCTTTGACGTCAAGACGTAGCGGTGCTCCGCGACCGATGTACGTATTTCCAACCTGTTGATCTTTCCACTTGTATTTCTACTCGCGTTTTAACTACGATCTCTTGCAATACGATTTCGATTCACTCATTACCTAATTATAATAATGGTTCGTGTACTTTAATGTATCGTTATTTCGTTTCTGTTACAGTCTCTTATTGGAAGTCGAAATCAACGAATAATAAGACTTGTTGAAACCTGTCAAGACATGTCGGCGTTTCACGACCAACGAAGTATGCATTTCTAACCCTTTGCTATTTTCTCATAATCAATCATTGTTTAATTATGATTTAATTTGTATTTTATCTCTGTTGCAGTCTCTGATTGAAATTTGACGCCATGGAAAATTTCATTGGCCCGTGAAGTACACCATAACAGATGGCAGGCGAGTCGACAAATTTTGAAGGGTATCTTGGTAACGTTTAAATAATTATAATAAAATTTAACATCCATATCAATGTTTATCGCTTTATTAAGTTATCCGTTGCAAGCATGATTTTAATTTTGTAATCGGTCATTGTTAAGATATAATATTAAAATAGTTAACAAACTTTCTATCTACTTCGACATATATCGAAGTACACAAAAATGGCGTCGGTAGATATCAACGATAAATTGCAATAGTTTATATCAGACTGTATTCTGATCGCGATTAAATATTTCCAACTATTATTTATTCAATCGATCGTTTATATCTCTTTATGAATTGTTGTAATTGCAATTTGCATACATATTTCGATGCAAGTTTAAGAAAATGTAGTAACCGCGGCGTTGAAATATGCTATTCGAGCACAAATAACCAACGAACTTTAATTCTTGCAAATTTCGGAATATTTATAAAAATTACGGGATATTCTAACGTTCGAGAAAGTAAACGTAATCATGCTTACAACTCTAACGATGAAACTTAGTGATATAATATTTATAAATTGAATAATTACTTGTACGTAATTATTTTCGTAGATAATATTTTATCGTTGAAATTCTCAGTGATTGAGAATATTTCGCCTTCGTGGCATTGATCTTGTACGGGACAAACTATGTATACAACAGTGATAAGTAAAGCAGTATTTCTGTTGACGAACTCTTGTTAGAAGAAGAAAGAAAATCGATAGGCAAAGCACAGATGTGCTTGTTGTGTTTCTTGTCTCCTGTCCCTTTCTTTTCAGGTCTTTTCTTTCCAGGAAATTTGTTGGCCGCGCGCAATGCGGCCGGTAGATTCAGTGATCGTACGTAGCAACAAGTTTGTTTTTCGGGGCAAAGTGACCCCAAGCTCGTTATCGTTCACGGTGTTAGACAAATGCGAGAATAGAAGCAGTGTTTCTTACGCGGTATTAAATTATTTCCAGAGCATCGTGGCTCTTTCTGTTTTCTGAATCGCGATAATAGAATCATTTGTTCGCCGATTTCAATCTTCGGTCGCGGTAATCTAATTTATTACTTTCGAATTAAATTAATTATTTTTTCAATTTGAAATTTAAACTCCTCGTTACCGGAATTAGAGTCAGTGCATCACCGAAGAGGACTATTTGGCGATGCTCCACGAGCAAACAATGTATGTATAAATTTATACTTTGAAATTTTTAATTAAAAATCTTTACAGTTTTAACAATAGATTCTAATTGTTTTCTTACAGTTTTCTTACAGTTTCTGAACCTGATCTTGGTATCCAGCAGCAGTACCCGGGGGGTATCGGGCGGTGGACCACGAGCGAACAACGTAAGTATAAATTTATACTTTGAAATTTGTTAATTAAAAATCTCTATAATTTTAACAATAGATTATAATTGCTTTCTTATTCTTTATAGCAGGAGCATGCAGGGGGCTTTGATGACTTCCACCGGGCAGCAGCAGCATCATCATGCAGTCATCCCAGAGGTACAAGTTCATCATTGGTGAGTCGCATGCTATTTATGTTCCTCTGGTCCCCAACCATGTTGTAGGATGAAAGATCCGAATCAACACGGGTGACCAGTTGTATACTTAGTATTTTTGACGAGTTAAGTGACCCATGAGTTATATTTTTTTAGTGCAGGCTAGGGTCTTCTTGCACTCGCGTTTTTTAATGTTATCAATAAATATTACACAATTTTGATAAAATATATGAAGTATGTTTATTATCTTTATATGAATTAAATAATTGAGTAGATTATGAATTAATATAATGTGAAAACATTATATTAATCGTACGATTGAGTAAAATATCTTACATCATTGATATAATTATTAAATATTCGTTTTATCGATTAATACATCATATGATGTATTTTATGTGCAAGAAGGCGTTTCGCGACTGGTCGATTTTCAACTCAAAGGAACATGCATGTTAATTTTATTTTCTTAAAAATTTACTTTGACGACAGAATCGACCAAGGTTAATTGAATATTTTGAATAATAATTTAACAAATTTATTTCAATTTGCAAAGTAAATTATTTTATCACGAAATCTTTATTAAAGTCTTACATTTTGAACAATTAAATTTCAGTCACAAATTTTTCTTGAATAATATCTTTCAATATTAACGTACTCTGTTGTCGATATATCACATGTAACAAGTCGAGTCATTTTAATTGAGAATAGATACCGTTTAGTTAATTATTAATAACCAATTTTTCTAGTCAGGATTTTCAGGATACTTTTCCGTGTTCGTTGCCTAAGTTCGTGCACATGCCCAAGTGTTATTTGCACGAGCGAAGGCAACGGGGCACGATGACTTAGTTTCTAACATTTATAATAATAATTTATCCGTGCGACTGACAATGCTAGTGTATCGTGCACGATGTACTGTCCACATATGTGTGTTTGTGGTTAGGATGTGGAAGTGCATCGTTTCAAAAGTTTATTACGATTCAGATACAGAATTTTTTGACATTAGATTCATAACAATCGTAATAATAATATTAAACTTATAGTTATTATTTACTTGGAAATTGTTCGTATTGCATACACGTCAATGATATTGTAAAATGCATAATGAATTAGCTTTTCAATCTTATATGATCATATATAGAGTATATTTTAATACAGACTACATCAGATGTATTAAAATGTTTTACATAAATAATAAAAGTACGCAATGGGCACTAGCTTTGTCAGTCCACTGCAAAAACTGGTACGTACACAATTAGAGTATGAATGAGGTTGTGTCCGGGTGTCGGAGGAACCCCGGGGAGTCCTCTCTAGTTTAGGTCGCGCCCGGACATTTCGAATGAGAACCGTGGAGTGTTTGTTTGAGAGACTGAGTTTTGCAATTTTTTAAATATAGGGTTAGGTAGGTAGGTAACTTATTCTCTGGTGTGTGTGTGTGTTTAAACCTAAGTAGGTAGGGTCAGGGCAGAACTGTCCACATTAGTAATTCGGGTAGGCGCGTTTTCGCGTGGCAGTTCTGTTCCTGTAGTTACGATTTCGAGAGTAGAAATTTTGCTGATTCAAACGGTGCACTTGTGCTGTTTGTTTCGGCTTTATTTTCGACTCCTCGAATCGCGCGGCTCTTAAAGTCGCTCTCTCGCGCTCGCGGTCGTGATCAGGTCCCTTTCGAAACGTTCGTCCCCCTCGAGATGACCACGTATGCTCTTTCAACAATTCGTATATTGTTGGAAGACTACGTATTGCACGAAATCTCGAGCCCGGTCTTTCGTAAGTTTCAGGCATCGGCAGGACCGCCGAAGAAAGAAAAGGCTCTCAATGAGCCGAAGAGGCCCTGACAAACTGTTTCAAGAGTGGGCTACAACAAATGGCTTTTCATCTTCATCCTCGGATGAAAATGGAAAGTCATTCCTACTACTTTGTCACTTAACTCGTCCGTAGTTGTAGTTAGTTTATTTTTCTGACTGGCTCACGTATGCATGTACCTGTTGGCACATGATTGCACCATACATGCCAGCAATCCCTCCCCACAACTCGCGGTTATGATATACTTAGAGTTGCGAATATACAATAATCGCGTTTGCTTGTAGAGTTGCGAATTCTTATTTTTCGCGTTTCCTTTTCAGGGTAGT